GTGCACTTAACATTTCCAAATAAGCACACATCATTCCCGTTTCTTGAAAACTTGCTCCCCAATTAATCAATGATTTCGTTTCTATCCAACATTTAAGTCCTTCATCAGGAATATTACGAAATAAAGTCGCGATCAAAATGAAAAAAGCCTCTATATCATGACGCGACTCTGACGTTTTTTTTTGTTTCGAATTAGGAGTGGATGAGGATCTCCGTGTAATAGGAGTTACAGGATCTGTTGAAGCCGACTGAATCGCATCTTCTTCCTGTCTTCTAATCTTTTGTAGATAACTCATGTTCTTACCAACTAACTTGAAGACAAAATGCTCAAGCTGTTTGCGAAGATTATTTTGAAAATCCCTTTCAAGTTCAAGGATAGTTTTTGGCGTTTTTCCCGGAGGTATAAGTATGATACCACAGAAAGACACTTCACCTTTATAAGACCAATTTACGCAGGTTTGTTCTTATTTTTACTTATTCGCGTCACGTTAATTAGTAAATTAAATTTTTTTTTTTTTTTTAAACTAATTCCTTTAAAAAAAGGAAACGCTATTGCCAAGGTGAAATCAAAAGATCCTATCAAAGTTCTAACTGTCAGAGGAACAGCATTTCCTCCTGCTACCATAAGTGATCAAGCAGGAGCTTCAACTGAGGCCGCACCTGAATCCGAGAAGCCTGCTTTGACTGAATGGATTGGCGAAACACTTCAAAAAAGCGATCGACCAGAGCTTGGCTCAGCAACAAAAGTTGTATCGGGTGGTCGAGCTTTGAAAAGCAGGGATAATTTTGATAAACTAATTAATAATCTTGCCGATTCAATGGGAGCTGCTAGTAATAATATTTTTATTTTTGACGATACATAATTCACCATACTCTTTTAAAAAATAGTTCATATAATAATATAATATAATGTATATACATATATATATTTCCATTATTCTAGTTGGAGGTTCAAGAGCTGCTGTAGATGCAGGATATTGTGATAATTCCTTACAAGTTGGGCAGACAGGGCATGTCGTTGCGCCAGGTATTAATTGCTTGTTTCCGAATATTAATTATAAAAGTCACCGAAATAATTACTCTTAAATGTTATATGTAGAATTTTACTTGGCGGTTGGCATTAGTGGTGCAATACAGCACGTTGCTGGAATGAAAGACAGTAAAGTGATAGCGGCAATTAATAATGATCCGGATGCTCCAATTTTTCAGGTATTTATTTCTCATGAAGCGAACTTATACAATGAATGATTTTACTCATATACAAT